CATGTGCTACCACGCCCTGCTTATTTTTTTATTTATTGTAGAGATGAGGTCTCGCTGCCCAGGTGGGTCTCGAACCCGCGGGCTCAGGCAATCCACTCACCTCAGCCTCCCAAAGGCGCAGGATTACAGGCTGAGCCACCGAGCCCGGCTAAATATTTATATTTAAGCCAGCATGGTGGCTCACTCCTGTAATCCCAGCACCTTGGGAGGCCAAGGCAAGAAGATTCCCTGAGCCCACAGGTTCGAGACCAGCCTGGGCAACTTGGCGAGATCTCACCTCTACAATAATCAAAAAATTAGCTGGGTGTGGTGGTGCATTCCTGTAATTCCAGCTACCTGGAGCTCTGAGGCGGAAGGATCGCCTGAGCCCAGCAGGTTGAAGCTGCGGTGACCATAAGTGTGCTACTGTACTCCAGCCTGGGCGACAGAGTGAGACTCCAACTCAAAAAAATAAATAAGTAAAACACCATATTACTATGTTCACAGAATCTGTCAGTCAGGAAATGAGATAGGATGGTTTGCCTTGCGTCCAAGGCAGATCATCTGTGTCTTTAGATGCAGATTTTCAGACTGTGAGGAGCCTCATCAACACCTGTTTATGGTTTTGGTGATAAGACCCTGGGCCTTTGGTGGAAGCTGTAATGGGATGACATTTTGGGGGGGTCTTGGGAGAAGGTGGATGTATTTCACACATGAACATAAGCCAGTCACTGTGGCTATGCTCAAAATAGCCACACACTCTCACTTATCTTCCATTGATAGGCGAAATCTGATTCCCCTGCCCTTGAACCCAGGCTGGCCTGAATCACAGGCTTGGCCAGTGGAGAGAGCCGCCCAACTTTGTTTCTGGCACTTTCAAGTTGAAGTCACAGGAAGGCTTTTGAACATTTGCTCTTACTCCCCAGCTGCCAGAATCCGTCTGGGACTGGTGTGTGAGTCCCTGGGATGACAGCCCCAGTGGCCTTCAGATGGTGGGGGCAATTGTGGATGCCCCTTCAGATGGCCACTTTCGTGTTCTGAATTCTGAGAAGCAACTGCAACATATTTAATAACTGATTAAAATGCTTTGCTTATGGCCTGGCTAAAGTTTCTATACATAGTGCTGTGTGACTCTTAGTTACAGAAAATTCACAAATGCCCCTCTAATATTGAAAAATTTGCTAAGAAGATACCACAATCAGTATTTCACATGGTTCTACTGCCAAGAACGCCCTTGTGTGTTCATCTCCGAGACAGAAAAAAGCAGCTGTATGTTTGTGAATGTTGTCTAGGCCAGCAGGGGTTCCCTGCCAACAGCCAGGCAGTGTGGGCCAGACTGATGGGGCCCAGCCTACATGAGCCCAACAGCCGGTAAAAGAAGCAAGTCAAGCCGGGCTTGGTGGCTCAGCCTGTAATCTCGCGCTTTGGGAGGCTGAGGTGAGTGAATTGCCTGAGCCTGCGGATTCAAGACCCACCTAGGGAAGTTGCTGAGACCTTGTCTCTACAATAAATCAAAAAATTAGCTGGGCTTGGTGGTGCACGTCTGTGTTCCAGCTCCTTGGAAGGCTGAGGTGGAGGGATTGCCTGAGCCCAGCAGGTCGAGGCTGCAGTGGCTATGAGCATGCCTCCTGCCTGGGCAACAGAGTAAGACTCTGACTCAAAAATAAAAATTAAACTTAAATAAAAGAAGCAAGAGTCCAGTATGACCATACCACAGTCCTGACAAGTGGCGGGAGTGGGAGAAGTACATCATCCCCAGTGCCTGGTGTGGGGCCTTTGGGGGCTTGGCCCCTAGGAGGGAAGGGAGTCCCAGGCTGGGGTACAGGCATTGTAGCTGAGCCAGGTCACCTATTTTTTTTTTTTTTTTTTTTTT